TTTTGCTGTGGTGGGAGTGCGTTGAAGTCGTGGTGGGGTTGTTGCTGTTTTCCATCCCTCGATCGGAGTGCGTCTCTGTGTCACTCACGACCTATCTACCGGTCGTTGGAGTTCTGGAGGGGTTGCGCATGTCCACCCCGGTCTCGGTGAGTGCCTACCGGTTGTAGTCGTCGTTCACGCCCACACTTTCCAGCGCCTGGTCGTCCATGTCGTACTTATGTCTGTCCCCATATCCTTACATCATGCTGTAATCGTTGTCTGCAGTTTCTACTATGCGTTTGATTGAAGTTGGTTAGGTCAATCGACCTCTCATATAACTTTTCACATCCGTTTGGTCTTGTCAACGTCTACATCCGAATTTCCATCTATGTGTTAGCTGCTTCATGGCTTCAGTGCATGTCAGGCACTCGTAATGCATAAACGATGATCTTGAGATTTGCGTAAATGTAATTTAATGTTTTGAAGCTCGATTTTTATGGTCAATTTAGTTGTGAAGGAGTCTTCTTGCCAGATAACTTGTTTGCTTCAGGTAGAGCTTGGGTTGTGGTTGGTCGTATCTCTCTTTGTTTATTTCTACAGACACGCACACGCACAAGCTGGCTTATGCATCATAGTAAGTGAAGAAGACGGTTCGTTTCATCTGTCCTCGCTAGTTTGTCAGACACGACACACACACACAACACCAACTGAGAAGAGGGGGGAACCTCCGAGTTGACCTTGCCCGAAAAGTTCTCTCTTTGTACCTTAATGTATTTTAGACACCCTCAATACATTAATGATTAGTTAGAAGAGGTTGAAGCTACGTCCAACTTTCTTCTTTTCGAGCGAATTGCCAACGCGACATAAAAAGTAGTATTTGGTCGATGGGCAATCTTTCTCTCTGAAGCAAACGAGCACACCCTTACACACAGAAAGAAAGAGGCAGAGCGGGGTGGGGTGGGGGGTTGGGGCCATTTCTGTTTGAATGCTATAGCATTTGAAGCAACCGGGCCTTTTCAATCCTTCTACAGGAACAATAGCGTTGTTCCTTGGATACACATACACTCACACGCACACACACACACACACACACACACACACACACACACACACACAAAGAGAGAGAGAGAGAGAGAGAGAGAGAGAGAGAGAGAGAGAGAGAGAGAGAGGAGCTTGCATTCTTCACTTCCTCGCAAGGTGGCAAAGCGTCAGTCTGTGCAACATGGGCAAACTTTGCTCTCAGCTTTGCGCCGACCACCGATTTGTCCCTTTCTTTCCGATTGTCCGTGATTTCTCGAAGAATTGATTTCGAATTTTGGCACGCTATATTTAAATTTATCAGACATTTATTGGAATTCGATTCCTGTGTCGAATAGACAGTGCTCGAAGTCTTATTTGGGTATTGATTCTACAAAGAATCAATTAATCATTATCGTTCTTTTCATTATTTATTTACTCGTAAGCAAACTCTCCTCTTCACTCTCTCTCTTCTTAAGCATTTCGTAGTATCAGTCAGTCCTCATCATTTCTATTTCCTGACGGATTCATCACTAAAATAAGCTACATTTGAACATTGATTGTGTCCTTGTTCGAATTTTCCATTTGGATGCATGTCATCTGATTTAGTCGCATTGAGCGTTGTTTTCGCTATATTTGGTTCCCATTTGAATGCATGCCAACTAATTTGATCTCGTTGAGTTTTATTTTTTTGTGTTTGTTTCGCTTGCGGATAAGATTTTATTTTCCAGTTTTTTAACTTGTATGAATTATATAGTTCGGTTTTGTGTCAGTTGCCAGGTCATTGCATTTCGTCAGTTCCCCTGCTGGACTTTGCGCAGTTCTGGTCCACTTCATTTTTCGCTCCTGCGGGTCTCCCTATCAGCCTGCACCTCTCCCTGCTTTAATTTCGTTCATCTCTTCTCCGATCTTATGTTTTCCAAGTCCGTTTCTGTTCGTCCATGATGAACCTATCAATGATCCCTGTCCAGATTCTTGTCGATTGTTTCTATCCTGATTCTTGTTGATCGTAGTGCATCATCAGGTCTTGTTAGTGCAGAACATATCAGATTCTCTGATCTCTTGCTCGGCGCAAAAGTACCAGCATCGACCCCCCCCCCCCCCCCCCCCCCCCCTCACACACACACACACACACACACACACACACAGAGAAGGAAAATTTGCGTCGTTGATTTGAAATTGTGTGATTGTGCAGTCATGCGCCATGTCGGCATGGGCAGCTAGACATCGGGATACTTTCGGATCGAAACTCGCTATGCTTTGTATTGGAGACCGTGGTTCACCATCACCCTCACCGAGTCCGAAAGTGGTAACTCCACAGACTTCCGGCCGATCGACCAGGTTCTCTCCCTCGCCTTCGGATATGGCCGACCATCGGGAAAGTTTTCCAGCACGGATAAGTGTCAAAGCCTCTAGTGAGTTTTTTTTTTTCTTTTTAAATAATTTAATTGGGTTTGTTTTCCTTTGTAATGTGTTCATGTATCTCTTCGCTTCAGTCTGTGGTTTATAAAAGATCATGCATCTTGGGATCTTTCATCATGCTGCCTTTTAGCGGTACCTAGCCAAAATGGGGGAAAAAACGTTAGTTGTGCTATGCATCCTGTTTGCTTGAATTCGTTTTTGTTATTTTCATTCTCTCCTTGTTTGCTCTACTCTCTCTAGCATTCGTAGAAAGTAGTGGTCTACTCCCTGATGCTTTCTGTCATCCCTTGGTTTGATCTACCCTGCGTTGTTGAAAGCAAATAAAAATTTTATTTTTTGCTCTTTGCGTTAAGGAGTTTTGTGTCTGTCATTCCCTTTGTCAATCCTTTTTTGTCATCCTTTACGCTGTTGGTTCCGTGTTTGACGTCCAAGTCGGAGGTCACATGTTCGAATCTCTTGTTAAGAACTCTCTCTCTCTCTCTCTCTCTCTCTCTCTCTCTCTCTCTCTCTCTCTGTTCTCTCTCTCCATTCTTTGTTCTCTCTCTCTCTCTCTCTCTCTCTCTCTCTCTCTCTCTCTCTCTCTCTCTCTCTCTCTCTCTCTCTCTCTCTGTTCTCTCTCTCCTTTCTTTGTTCTCTCTCTCTCTCTCTCTCTCTCTCTCTCTCTCTCTCTCTCTCTTTTGATCACCATGGACATGCACAACATGCAGCACTGTAGTTACACAGTGATGTAGCGGGTTCTTCCACTGGCTAAGTGGTTGTTTGTGTCACTGAGGGTACAATTTGTCGCGGGGAAATAAGCACTGACACTGCTTGGAGTAGTTTGGAGGGCGCATGTTCGAATCATGTCAAGAAGAAGTGTCTCTCGATCGTCATAGACATGCGCAACATGTAGCATCGTGGTCACACAGTTTTGTGTGTGTGGGTGCTTCCACGACCTGAGTGGTTGTGTGTGACTGGGTACACTGTGTCGCATAGAAATAAGCACTGACACTACCTGGAGTGGTTGAAGCCTTTCACTTTCAATGCAGTGTACGTAAGCCCTCGCTCCACTACTCACCACATGCACAAAGACATAAATGATGGCAATGTATCTTCTCATGCTCTACGTAAAGATTCATGCTCCATTTTACATATTTAGCCTATTGGTTGAGAGTTCACCTTCCGAGTGAGAAGGTTGTGCTTTTGATTCATGTGGTTGGACTCACTTACCTTCATTATCGTCCTTCGAAACGTTGATTTATTCTCCTCCTTTCTTTTCTTAGTTTGAGTGCAGTCTCTAGCGGCCTTTTGGCCAAGGTTAAGTGTAGGATCTGTTTTGATCAGTTTAATATCTGATCCGTGATCCATCGAACCACATGATATTTAATTAATGATTTTTTTGGGGGTCACGGAGGGGTCATACGGGTAAGCTTGCGTACTTTACGCCTCCAGTGTTGCCTCTGTATTATTGCGGTATAGCAGAGTACGGCGAAGTCCTCTTTCATTGCCGCTACATCATAGTTTGTTTGTTTGTTTTGTATGGTTTGATTTATTTCCCTCTTTTTTTTTTTGATCGGTTGTTCCTTGGGTCGCACAAGACAAACATGGAGACCTTGCCGCAGCAGTTCGTGGCCGTCTGCATCTTGCACAACATCCTAATCGACGCCGAGATCCCTTTCGATGAGAACTTGCTGTGGGAGGTGGACGCCAACGGAGTTCGCCGTCGAGTGGATTTTGGGATCCTGCACCCCCCCAGGCCTTTGTGCATGGAAACTTCTATGGGGGAAGCGGTCATGCTGCGTGAAGCGCTGGCGGAGCGAATGATGCAGCGATGAGAGATGTCGGAGGTGCGGAGCGGAAGTAGATGTAAGCTGCGTACGTGGAAGGGCGTTTGACAGCGGCAGTAGAAGGAAGCAGCGTGCGGAGAGACGAAGGAGACAGTAGATCGTGTGATGTCGTCGTAGTGATCGTCGTCATTGTCGGACGAAGACCGGAGAACGTCTGTGTAGTCTAGTACTCCCCCTCCAGTGTGTCCTGCACATTCAGATAGTTGACGAGCGTTTTTTCTTTTTGTTTTCTTTCGATTCGTGTTTTCACATTGACGCATTGATAGTGCTTTATCCCCAGTTTATGCGCAAGGCATAGGGCGGCAGATGTGGTGGTGGCGGCCGATCACTGTTATCTGTGAACCGCATGGATGCGGGATTCGGGTCTGTGGTGTGCGACAGACGCATGCATGCGTCCGGGTTCCTTTTCCCCGATTTTCAAAGCGCAGTACTGCGCACAGTGTACTTTTTATTTGTTCACAAGGGTTTGATGATTATTGTTTTATGCACGCTTTCAGTTTTATTGCTTGTCGTCGACTATTCTCTTCCTTTTCATGTTCCCTGCGTGCGGAGATGAGGGCGCACTTACGTGCGCGATGATGTGAATGAGTGCAAGCCATTGATGATAGCATTCATTTGACTTCACATATGTCCATGGTCCAAATGCTGGAATGCATATGTTCTGTTGCCAATTATTCGTCTTCATCTTCGTGAAAGTGTTGTGAATGGTTGAACGATGAGTGCGCGAGAAAGAAGGTCACTGACTGAAAACGTCAATCTCTCACGCAGAATTCATTCACCTTATCACCCACAACTTTACATGGAAGCTTTGCAATCCGAAAGAACAAACATAAGAAAACACGTCTGCGATATAAAACGAACGTTCGCCATAGCACACGATATCAAATTAGCATCAATGATGCGCATAGACATGATGGACATTAATGACACCGCACATTCGACGATGAGTGGCCCCTTGAATGAAAAGACGTGCATGTCGACTACACTTTGCTGTCAGCTAGATGAAACCGAGCTCTCACCCGTGCTCGGCAACCGCTTTGACAACAGGAAACGACTCGACGCAAAGGAAGTAGAAGACAGTCTACGAAACTCGCGCAACCGCTATTTACACGCCATGCCAACTCCTGTCCCCAACATCGTCGACGACATCGTCGTCGTCGCCACCATCGTCGTCATCACCATCACCACCTTAGTCATCATCATCGTCATCATCATCATCGTCGTCATCATCATCCTCTTTAATCGTGAGCATCGTCATCATCATCATCATCGACATCATCACCATCATCATCATCACGATCATCATCATCACCATCATCATCGTCACCGTCATCATCACGATCGTCAGCTTCACGATCGTCGGCATCATTATGAACGTCGTCTACATCATCATCGTTGTCGTCACCGTCATCATCGTCATCACCGTCGTCATCATCATCATGAACGTCCTCGTCGTCATCAGCAGCAGCGGCAGGCGGCTTCCCCATTTTCTCCGTAGTCGTCCACAACGCCTGCCGTCACGATTCCCCGCCTTCGTCCTTCTCCTCGTCTTCATCATCAATCTCCGGAGGTCCGGTGCCTAACCAATCTAGTCGTCTGGCGAGCTCAGGAGACGTCAACGTGGCGCCGTTGTGGAACGACACCCCACACGAAACCCAGTCGGGGATGTACACCGGAGGGTCGACCAACGTCACGGGGGCCTTCCCCATTTTCTCCGTTACTACATTGACACACTGCAGAACATGGCGGCGCGCGTCGAACGAGCGATGCAGCGACGCAATGAGCGTCGGTTCCGCAATGAGCTCCACGAGATGGGACGCCTCATAATGCGAACGGAGATTATCTCCCGGCATCCGCATGATCCACATGGCGGCAGACAGCAAAAGGCACATGCAGTCTGCTACGTTCCTCAGCCTCTCGTACGATATCCGCCCGCCGTCTACCCCCTCCCCCGTGTCAACAGCATTTGTGAAAGCTCCCACCAGACGTTGCGTTGTGGACTCCTGATACGACGCCATTTCGTCGTCCTTGTGTCTGTCGTGTATGACGCCACCTACGTACCAGATGGGGAGCTTCATATGAAGCTCCAAGGTGTTATGGATGACCGCCAGACTCACACATACCCGCCAGTCCTCTCCAAACCAGATGGCGCGGGCGAGGTCTGTGGCGACGTGGTTCAGCACATAGACGTACGAGCAGTGGTACCCGCGCACGCGATTGGGGGACTTGAAGATCCACCCATGGATGATGCGCAACGCTATGGTCTGCACCCTCGAAGCCCTCTCCTTCGCGGCCCCCAACTCCGAGGAGTCTTCCAGCTTCTGCTGAGGGATCGTGGCGTTCGGGAGGACAACGCTTTTTCTTATCTCCGGCGGTTTCACACCCTTCGCGACGGCGATGAGGTGCAGGTGCGTCTCCTGGATGATCTTGAACATCCCATGCCCCTCCGTCTCGTTCCAGAAACGCAGATCGTCTACCCACAGTTTCGCTTTCGCCTCCAGAGACGCCATGTTTCCGGATCGCCCCTGCCTGTTAATGAGGGGATCGTCGTCATCAGCATCATCACGACTGTCACCACCGCCCCCCCCCGCGCCTGCCGTCGATGTACCAACGACAATTCCCACCGCTGCGGCTTCCTTTGCGGGAATGCGCGTCGCAAGCTGTCCCTTGACTGCCGCATTCACCCCCGCCCCTTCATCCCTTCTCGCCTGTCCCGCCGTGGGCGTCACTGGGTTTGAAGGCGCCCGCATTGGCGGGTGATTACCTACGTCCTGGGCGACTTGCACGTCCTTCGACGGTACGGCGCCACGCATGGCAGGGGTCGTCGGCTGGCCACGCTCCTCCCTGGCAGCAACACCGCCTCCCACGTCGCCGACCGCCTCACCCTTGCCTCGCGCAACCCCGTGACCCCCATCTTTACCACCGTCGATGCCTTCCTCTCCGCTCACCATTCTCACGTTCGACACGTCACGCAAGGTCCCTTTCCTTCCATGAAACGTGTCCACCTCTGATTCGAAATCGTCGTCCTGTCTGCTGCTGGCCTCGTCAACCCACTCTTCCCGCGCGGACCTCCCGATCACCAGAGCACCGCCGCTTGATACCTTGGGCTTCTTCGCCTGATGCCTCCCCCGCTTCACGACGCCGGCAACTTCCGTTTTCTGGGAGTCCCTCTCCCTTTTTCCCTTGCCAGAGTTGCGAGTATTCGTCATCGCGGAGAAGACAGACTGCGATGACGAGAAGAAGGAAGGGCGAGAATGATGGCGGCGAGGGAAAGTCTGCGCAGGTGAAGTCGAAGACAGTCTACGACGTCTGGCGAAAACGTCGTCTGGCTAGAGAGATGGCGGCGAGACACACACTGCGCGAACAGGAGTCCCAACGTGGAGATGATGTCTGGCGAGATAGATGGCGGCGACACACACAGTGCGCGAACAAGAGTCCCAACGTGGATATGACGTCTGGCGAGATAGATGGCGGCGAGACAAACAGTGCGCGAACAGGAGTCCCAACGTGAAGATGACGTCTGGCGAGAGAGATGGCGGCGAGACACACACTGCGCGAAAAGGAACGTTGTCGCGGCGTGAAGATGACGTCGGGACTGCGCGATGGCGGCGACAAAGGCAGTGCAGGACGAGGAGTCAGAACGCGAAGATGTCGTCTGCCCACCACCAGCGCGGACAGGTCATATCGTGTTCGTGGCAAATGTTCGTCACGCGCCGGCGACAGTGCACAGGTTGGCTACAAGGGCGAACGGAATGGCTAGAGGGACCATTCCATTTGCAGCCCCCTTTTCCGACACACGGACGGTGGGTATGCGACATTCCGCCAATCAGGCCCCCCCAAAAAAAACGAACACTGCATGTGTCTCCACCCAAAAAAAAAAAAAAATGCAGTGAAGGGACTGGTCGTGTCATAGGAGTCTGATACGCACGCCCGAAAAAAATAAATAACAAACAGGAAAAAAAAAAAAAAAAAAAAAAAGTAAAGGAAAGTCCAACATGCAAATTGAACTTCAAACTTCGATACTTTTTCAAGGGAGATGTTAAATGGCGTGACATAAATAGCAACACCGTTGATTAAAGAAATGTTCATTCAGACCGACAGATGTACGCGCACGACATATATTTTGCCACTACTCTACAGACATAAACCGAAAACAAACCCATGGCACGAAATGAACTACGAGTGTGAATGAACTTCATCCGACTTAAGTACACGACACGAGCGTCGCAACAGAGTGACATCCATAGCTGAAAAATGCCCTGTGCCTGGCGTTCCCCTCTACCGCTATTGTATAGCCTTCGCTATTTCCATCAGCACCTGATACATAAGCTTGCTAACTTCATTGGGTGCAACGCAGTGTTGCTTCTAGACCCCCACCTCCGCTTCGATAGCCTCACACTGTCGAATTTGAATGGAGCATTGCCTCTTGCTCGCGCTCTCCATCGCCTCGCATTGCCTCATGCTCCCGCTCTCCATCGTCGACGCCATCAACGCCCCATGCTTCTCCATGCACTCGCTTAAGGCCTCGAATGTTTGCTGCCGCACGTTTTTCCTCTTCCCGAAACTGGCCGGACTTCCAGTCGTCTGTGAGGCCCCACGCGCTGAGCTGTCGTCTTCGTCGTTGCCATCTCCAGCGGCATCCCCGTCACCCACAGACTCCGGAATCACCGACTGAGCAGATGGGAGTTGCACACCTCCTGCGCCACCGGTGTCTGCAACATTGCTCGGGCTGATAGTGCGGCTCCTCTCCTTCGCCCCTTTGATCTCCTCGTAGACGGTCCGATCCATGTTGAAGCTGAATCCTTTCTCTGCCCTTTGCTGACTCGTCAACTAGAAGAAGTCCTCCTTCCCCGACATGCCCATGAAAGTGTGGATCTTTTTGAACTGTTGCATGAGATTATCTCATTTCTTCCCGCATTTGTCTGCCGGCCTGTCAACACCTATCTTCAGCAACCTCTCTCGGACGTCCAACCATTTCCACTCCCTCGACGGCGTCCGAGCGAATGCGTGCCCCGCCGCTTGCAGCTGGGCGTCCTGATCCCGCTTCGCCCTTATGAGGGCCACCATGTGATCCACAGACCAGAAATTCCGGCCACCCTCCCCATCCCCCTCACCTTCCGCATCACCAGAGGCCGCCGACGGCCTCTTCCGCCTCCGCCCTTCATTCGTCGAAGCCCTGCCTCTGCCGCCCCTGCCAACCATGTTCGGCGCACGCAATGGGAACACGTCGCCGCTGTCGTCCTCCTCAGCGTCGCACTCAGCTTCGTCACCGTCTGTCCAGATGTCGTCCCCCCCCCCAACCGCGTCTGCTTGCCCGGCCCGCTCGCCCACGCGTAATCACTGCACACCTTGCGTTATGGACTCTTCTTGCTGTCGGCGCAACTCCTGCCTCGACTCCTTCCATACCCGCCTGCCATCTCCACGCGCACCCTCGAAAGGGAAGTCTTCGGCACTCACACCCCGTTCAACTGGACGAGGAACGCTGTCGCGGCCCCTGGAAAACGCGGGAGGGGGGTTCATCCACTCAGGGCGACCAGCGGTGGTGCGTGGAATTGACGGGCCAGAAGTCGCCTGCACTCGAGGCCGCTCCCTCGTCTTCTCGGAAGTCTCCTGATGCGCAGAACCACCCCTCATGCCCCTGCCGACCAATGTCACCTGCCCCGCGTCATCGTCGGGATGAGGGTTCAAGAGCACAGTGCGCGTGGCAGAAGATGGGCTCCCGCTCCGCAGGCCAAATGTGAGATCCACAGGGGGGAGGCATTCCTCTTCCTGGGCACCTTCGTGGAGGAGGGAAGTGAACGACTGCCTGTACTTCGCTCCGCGCCCATCAAACAACTGGCTACCCGTCCATTCCTGGGTCGACCCGCTACCCAGTGGAACTGTGTTGGACACGTCCACGTCCGCCTCCCCCTCGTCCGAATCGGGCAGAGGCTGCATGTGAGGCGGGAGTCCTTCGTACGTCGACGGACCTGCCGCCCTTCTGTCTACACCGGTGCAGATCGCAGGCCGGTGGCTGGGATAAGTGTTCGACAACGTGGCAAGATTCGGCCGCCGCCCGTCCATGGCCACGCTCTTCCTCACCCCTCGTTTCCTGCGAGTACGTGAAGGCAACCTCCCCAATATGCACACCTGAACAAAGACGACAACTACAAGCAGAATCACGACGAGGAGGACCAGCGGCAGCTTGCGGAGCACGTCGGCCATGTAACACAACCGTTCTCGCAAGGGCAACTAATGACAACAACGCACGACAACGTAACGTCTACCCAGACGGCGGCAAACAGCAGACGACAAGCACACGACTGCCGACGCCCTCTGCCGCTTTACATTGCGGACCACTGCGCGCGGTGACGGACGTGCGCCGCTGTCATTTTCGAAACGACTGGCCGTTGGAGGCCTTCCCGTTTCCCGCTGGCGCTGGTGAGGGGCCGGGATAAACCGGCAATGGCCAAGGACCCCGTCCGCCACCCAACCTTACCGTTGCGGTCGTTCCCGCCGGAGTCGAACGTTGCCGGCCGCCAATGTCCGCCCGCACCTCGGCTGGACCAGCAATGTACCAGACTACAAAATTCTGACGTCGTCGAAGAGGGCCGCCGCCGTCCCGAATTTCGCGGAAACTCCCACTCCGAGGGACCTCGCGAGGTACCTTGGGGAGCACAGCCAAATGCCTGTAGCCCGAGGACGGCCCAAGGACGCCCCAAGGAAATGTTTTCACATCGGTTTCCAAGGAACTCTCTCCGAGGACAGATGGAACGATCATTTCCTCGGGATTTTTGAGCGCCCGAGGAGTGTCTAACAAGCCCCTAAAAAAAGGCCTGAAAGGCCGTCCTGTCCAGATTTGACAGGTAATTGAATTGGTTGGGCTTAAAGAATTAGCCTTTTATTATTTAAAAAAAAAAAAAAGGTTTAGTTGTTTTTTTTTTTTTTTTTTTTTAGTTGTGGTTTGGAGTATGCATGGCTCCTTGCCATGCAATCTGAAAATCTCACGGCCACATTGTTGACCACGTTGAAAAATACACAAAACATAAATTAAAACCCCAGTCGTCGGGCATGGCCCCGGGGCCAAGTTGCATGTACCCGAGCCTAGGTCCCACTTGCGCGATTTAAGCGATATTGACCGTAGATACAAAAGATCAACAGCCAGATTCTCGTAATCCGTGCAAGTGGGACCTTGCCCCCGAATCTTTGATCGCTGACGCTAGAGCCAAGTTTCACTTACCCGAAACATTGATTGCTGACCGTAGATTACGAAGATCAACTGTCAAACGAGGAAGCGAAGTTACTTGGCCCCCGGTAGCTTTCGTTTGAGATCGTCCATTTCGAAGGTCGACCGTCAGGGTGGAAAATTTGCGGTAATCGCGGTAGGGGGGACCTCGCCACAGGGTGAAGACCGACCACCCCCGTCCTCCGAACACAACGCAGGGTGATTCGGGCGCCTTTCGGTCGTGTACAGCGTCAATGACCGTTCGGGAAAACGGCAAAGAGGCTACCTTCTTCCCCCGCATGCCTCACATACAGCTATAATGACCGTGCATTGTATTCAGGGGAAGAAGGTAGACGGAGTAGTTTTCGAACGTGTTCTCAACGCTCGTTCAGGCCCGTCCGATCCGAAAAGCTCAGATTATAGTGCAGTCAAATTTTTAAAAAGAGGAAAAAAGACTTTAAAAGAGAACTCGTGGCGTTAATGTTGACCACGGGGGCCAAGTCCCACTAGCGGCGTTGAGCTACCTCAATGCCTGAATCTGGACGTGTTGGTGGAGACATGCAGTTCAGGAAACTCGACACCATTTCTGCACATCTCCGCAAAAGCGTCCACATTCAGGCGTTGAGGTAGCTCAACGCTGCTAGTGGGACTTGGCCCCGGGCATCACTATAGTGGTCGGGCCATGTCCCACTAGCAGCGTTGAGCTACCTCGACGCCTGAATCTGGACATGTTTGTGGAGACGTGCAGTTCAGGAAACTCAACACCATTTCTGCACATCTCCGCAAAAGCGTCCACATTCAGGCGTTGAGGTACCTCAACGCTGCTAGTGGGACTTGGCCCCTGGACGATCTCGTCAGACGAGGATGTAGCGGAGAGAAAAAAAAAAAAGAAAACGAAAAGAATGATGGAATCTCTGTTCCAGGGGGCAAGTCCGACTTACCCTAATTCTCAACTTCTAGCCGTAGATTATGATGATCAGCTGCCAGAAATGAAGAATCAGGGTAGGTGGGACTTGGCCCCAGAGTAGAGTTGGATCCCATTAGTGATCTCTTTCATAGACTTTTTCTTTTCTTTTCTTTACCATCTTTTTTTTTTTTTTTTACCATAATTTTCTCGATTTATGCGTGTGACAGTCATCCTTGTGCAGGGGCCAAGTCCCACTACTGGTAGCAGCGTTGAGTATCCTCAACGCCTGAATCTGGACATGTTTGTGGAGCTGTGCGGTTGAGGAAACTGAACGCTATTTCTGCTCATTGGCCCACAAACACGTCCAGCTGAATCTGGATGTGTTTGTGGAGCTGTGCGGTTGAGGAAACTGAACGCGATTTCTGCTCATTGGCCCACAAACACGTCCAGATTCCGCCGTTGAGGAAACTCAACGCTGCTACTAGTAGTGGGACTTGGCCCCAAGTGCCATGCTTATTTTCTCTGTATCGTTGCAATTTGAAGGGATGTTTCGAAGGAGTTCATAATTGAGGTTTTCACTGTCCCCATGAAATTTTGCTTTTTCAAGTAGCTGTCTCGGAGTAAGATTTGTACGGGATCGTGGGTAGATACATTCTCGAAGTAAGATTTGGACGGGATCGTGGGTGGATGCATTCTCAAAGTAAGATTTGTGGGTGGGGATACATTGGGGCTAGTTGCACTACTCTCTATAGGCCAAGTTTGGCGAGTAGGTGCCTGGTTGCACTTACTCGCCAAACTTGACGAATGCAAAATGTGTCAGACGGCTCGCCACACCGTCGACACAAGTTGTGGAGAGTGAATT